GTTTCTTGGGCCAAACACATTTTGTGGGTACCCGGTGTGGGAACTCATAAGCAGTTTTTCTTAAGATTATAGTTGGATAAAAACATGTTTTTTAATTGTTTATTTTCAAAAGTTAGTTTGTAATTACTTTTACTTCAGTTATACATATATAAAGGAGTTTTGGTTTTGGTGAATGTTATATGCAGTATATGTTGACAAAATTGTAAAAAAACTGGTTTTTATTCCTTGTCATACACATACCCTGTTGATGTCAGTTATAGAAGGTCATTAAGAATTAACCAATTCAGATTATTATTTTTTTTGGTGCATACAGGTTTTAAAGGGGATTAGGATATTCATACATCACTTTAGATAAAACTGCAGATCAAAAGCCTTTTTTTTTTTTTTAGGTCATACAGATTATTTTAGTAATTCCTAAATAGCAGTTTAAAATGAAATGTAACCAACTAAAATTATCATAGTAAGAATAAGTCAGCACCCCCCCCCCCCTAAAAAAAATATCTATGATGTCTAGGAGCACTGCACCACTGAGCTACATCCCCAGTTGCCCAGGCTGGCTTCCAACTTGTGATCCTCTTGCCTCAGCTTCATATGTAGCAGGGATTATAGGTGTGCATCTGGCTTGTTTTTGAAACTTTTCAGTTACACCTTAATTGCTGTGATGTATGTGTAGATGGGTGTGTATGTGTGAGGTGAGTACTGAATTTTATATGTGTGTGTTTGTGTATATATACATATATATGTATATGTATATAAAACACATTTCTTCACATATATAAATGTAAAATATATTTATTCACGTGGGACATGGGCAAAAAAGTTTGAAAGCCATTATCCTAGATTGATAACTGTAGAGAAGTTTTTGTTCTTTCAGAAAACTATGAGTTCCTCTTTACCATGTCACCCTCTCTATACTCAGAAACACTCCTTCCGAATAAGATAAGTGGCATCTCTTGAAAGAACTCTTTGTAAGTGGTTTCATAACTGTGCAGTGTTTATGTCATGTAGGTAGTGATACTTTTTCACATGTTCCTCTTGTCTTACATTTCAAGGTTAAATTGGGTAGTTTAGTGGGTAAAATCCTTAGAAGCAGTATCTGGGCAAAATTTGTAGTTTTCCATTTTTTAATTTTTTTTAATTTTTATTTTTAGTTGTAGATGAACACAATATCTTTATTTTTATTTGTTTATTTTTATGTGGTGCTGAGGACCAAACCCAGAGCCTCATGCATGCGAGGCAAGTGCTCTACCACTGAGCTACAACCCCAGCCCATTTTTCCATTTTTTAATGTTTACCTTGTGTTAGCCAGTTTTGCATTGCTGTGGCCAAAGTAGCTGATAAGAACAATTTAGAGGAGGAAAAGTTTATTTTGGTTTAGTTTCAGAGGTCATGGTTAGCTGGACTCCATAACTGTGGTCCCAAAGTAAAGAAAACATCATGGTATAAAGGCCTGGTGGAGGAAAGCTACTCAGTTCTTGGCACCTGGAAGGAGGGTACAAGGGAGGCATGGAGGAGCGGGGGAGAGGGTTGGAGAGGGAGAGAGGGGATGAGGTGGACAGAGCAGGCGAGAGTGCTGGAAAGTGCACTTGAGCATGAGCCAGAGAGCCAACAAGCTAGCCCTCTCGCAAGTGCAACCATGCAAGTGTGCCCTGTTAGCTAGGGACGAAATATAAACCCCAAAGGCATGAACACTGCCCCCCTCCTTCCTCCAGCCATACCCTGCCTGCCTATAATTACCACCCAGTACAGTAGTTCTTTCAAATTATTAATCAATCAAATGGATTCAACCCACTGATTAAGTTACAGCTTTCATGATCTGATCATTTCACATTTGAACATTATTGCAAATTATCTCACACAGGAGCTTTTGGGAGACACCTCATATCCAGACCATACCGTATTATCTCCCTCACTCTCTTTCCCTTTCTTCTTTGTTTTCATGAATATGTTTCTCAATCTTTTTTTTTCTTTCCTTGCTATATTCTCATCTCTTTTTATTTCTTTTTTTCTATAGTATGAATATTGTCACAACACTCTTTTTATTGGTAGTGTGACTTTTGGGAACTTAAAAAAAGAAAGACAAAATACTGTCCTGGTGTATGCCTTCTGGCAGATGCTTCCTCTAATTGTATTTTTAGACTTTCTGGAGCCACTCTCAAGAGGACAAGAAATCTTAGATCATCTTGGAAGCAAGTTGACCTGTGGGTTTGGAGCTGAAGGCGGCTTGTGATTGTGTTAAATAAATTTTCAGTTACTCTGGTCTAGTCTTACAGTCTAAGTAAAGAAAGAGAAATCAGGATTCCCCTGACTCTCTGTGGGTCCCTGTCCCCTTTACCCACTTTACCTACTCCTTTTAATCTTGAGTAGCACATGGAGATGTTTTAAGCAAGACAGTGAACCAACTTGTTATTTATCTTTCCTAGCCAGGAATGTTCTTTATCTGTTGGAATGCATTTGGCTTCATTTGGTCCAATAGGGTAACAAATCTTGGCCCCTCACTATTTTATATTTCATTTTATGAGAAGGCAATAATAATTTAGAGGAGGAAAAGTTTATTTTTATTTTTTTAAATTTTTGTTGTTGTTGCACATGGACACAATGACTTTATTTTGTTTATTTATTTTTATGTGGTGCTGAGGTTTGAACCCAGTGCCTCACACATGCTAGGCAAGTGCTCTACCACTGAGCCATAACCCCAGCCCAAAATGAGTCATGAGATACTGTGGTAATTTTTTTTTTTGTGTGTGGCAGTGCTGGGGATTGAACCCAGGGCCTTCTGCATGTGAGGCGAGCACTCTACCAACTGAGCTGTATCCCCCACCCCTATTTTTAAATAAACATTCAATGCTTTTAAATAAGCTTTCTTGGATCAGGTTGCCTGTGTCACAAGAGTGGATAAAAACAATGTGGCATTTATACACAATGGAGTATTACTCAGCACTAAAAAATGACAAAATCATGGCATTTGCAGGGAAATGGATGGCACTAGAGCAGATTATGCTAAGTGAAACTAGCCAATCCCTAAAAAACAAATGCCAAATGTCTTCTTTGATGTAAGGAGAGCAACTAAGAAAGAGCAGGGAGGAAGAGCATGAGAAGAAGATTAACATTAAACAGGGACGAGAGGTGGGAGGGAAAGGGAGAGAGAAGGGAAATTGCATGGAAATGGAAGGAGACCCCCATTGTTATACAAAATTACATATAAGAGGAAGTGAGGGGAAAGGGAAAAAAAACAAGGGAGAGAAATGAACTACAGTAGATGGGGTAGAGAGAGAAGATGGGAGGGGAGGGGAGGGGAGGGGGGATAGTAGAGGATAGGAAAGGCAACAGAATACAACAGACACTAGTATGGCAGTATGTAAAAACGTGGATGTGTAACCGATGTGAATCTGCAATCTGTATACGGGGTAAAAATGGGAGTTCATAACCCATTTGAATCAAATGTATGAAATATAATATGTCGAGAGCTATGTAATGTTTTGAACAACTAATAATAAAAAATAGTGCTAAAAAAAACAAGAGTGGAAGGAACATCAATTCAGGTGAAAACAAATTCAACTTCATTCTTTAAAGTACAGGTATTATTGTTTATTAAGCACTAGAAAGAAGAGTTCTAGGTATTATTTCAATACTGGAAACTGAAAGATTTTAAATAAGCATTGAAATAAGTAAATTTTATTTTTAAATAATAATTGCCTTTTCATAATCTCTAGAAAGTCTGAAAATTAATCAAAAGGTTACAGGGCTAAGCAAGGGTTGATAATTTTATATGTATTGAATTCACATGTAGTGATATATTTTTCTCAGTCTCATAGATTTCATTGTTATCTAGGATCAGTTTAGTTATTATAGCAAAGGCCAACACAGTGGCAGTTTATACATGGTAGAAAATGATTCCCCTCTCATTTAGCAGTCTGAATATAAGCAGTGCAGGACAGTTACAGAGCTTCTGTAGTGTTGGGGATCTAGGATCCTTCTATTTTGTTGTTTAGCCATCTCTAATGTGCAGATTTTATAACTTGAGATGACTATTCTTGTCGCGACCCCTTGCCCGCAAGGAAGACGCAACTCAGGAATCTTCTTTCAGCAGTTTATTCAGGCCTTTGATATTTCTTCTTCTCCCTCTCGGATGCCCCTCCCAGCCTTAATAAAGCATCTCAAGCCCCAATGCAAAGCTGCCACGTGGAGCTTTCTCATAGGGTGGTGAAAAATCATGTGCCAACTCTCCCAAATAAGGAGTTGTTTGTCACAGACCACAGCGGAGCCAGCGCCATCTTGTAATGGCGACCATAGTCTGCAGAAACGGCAGAAGCGGCTCACCACATATTCTTGTTTTTACTGTCACATTGTTATTATTGGAGTTCTAAAATGGGGAACAAAAAAAGGGAGGATGGGCCCCTTTTAAGAGCATAACCTAGAAGTGTGTGATTTTCGCACATATGCCATTGATCAGACATGGTCATGCTTTCTTGTGAGGGAGTATGAAAAATAGTTTTCAGCTGGGTGAACACACGTCCCACTGAAACTTCTCTTAGGGGGGTATAAAACCATAATAGCCACAAATAAGGATTTACTTATCAAAAACAAAACACATGTTAAGTTTACTCAACAAAAAAGGATTTGATATGCTTATTATTTTTTCTTATGTACTATTGCTTTGAGGATAGAAATTTTCCACTGAAGTTTTCAAGTAGATTTGAGCTACTGCAAAGAGTTAATCTGAATTAATGTATTTCCCTTTGGGATTATAAGTCAAATTTATTCTAATGGTTATAAGGATGTATAAAATGTATAAAACACATTAAAAAATAAGTTTGTTCTTCTGTTTCCTTCCCTTTTGTCTTTCTGTCTGTCATTCATGGGATGGGAACCAGGGCCTTGTGCATGCAAAGCACATGCTGTATCACTTAGCCATATTCCCATCCTCTTATTTTTCTTATGTTGTTTTTGCCATTATCCTTTCTTGAGGCTAATTTCACTTGTTTTATTTGTATTTCTAGGTATGGCACAGTCACAGGGCTGGGTGAAAAGATACTTGAAAGCCTTTTGTAAAGGCTTCTTTGTGGCAGTGCCCGTGGCAGTGACTTTCTTGGATCGGGTTGCCTGTGTTGCAAGAGTGGAAGGAGCATCAATGCAGGTGAAAACAAATTCAACTTCATTCTTTAAAGCACAGGCTTTATTGTTTATCAAGCACTAGAAAGAAGAGTTCTAGGTATTATTTCAATACTGGTAACTGAAAGATTTTAAATAAGCATCGAACTGAAGTCTCACTTGACTAAATTAATTTATAAGGTTTTCTAAAACTACTAGTATAATCAGAGTACAGGTGAATAAAAACAACTATCAAGTAGTCCTCTGAGTCTGTAGTTTGACTTTTTGGTGAGAATTGTAAACGGAGATTCTAAAGAAATTTTGCTAAATGACAGTTTTCTCTGAGTATGGCTTTATCAAATATCCTTTTAAGATCTAATTATTAGTGCAGTTAAAGAATGAGTTTGGGTCAAATTTGGTTATTCTATTGATATATACTTTCAGTTTATAGAAAAATCTAGATAACTGATCCCATATATTCCAGTGTGTTCTTTAAACATTTGCTGAGTGAAAATATTAAGTGAACTTTACAGTTGAAGAACTTCAGCATGTAGAATTCCAAAAATTACATGTGAATAGTCTTCTGGAATACCAGAGAAAATTTTATTGTTCTCAAATTTATATTTAGAACCTAGCTGAATAAGTAAGTTTATGTTGTTAAGCAACATTTGTATTTTGTAATATTATTTGTTTTCTTCTGTTACTAACATGCTAAATTTTTGTATTAGGTTAAATAGTTATTAAAAAAAGAATGTGAATATACGAACTTCCAAGAGATTAAAATTATACAGAGAAAAATAAGTTTAGTTTTTTCCTTTTCATTTTTGTTGGAACTGCTTAAGGACATTAATGTCTAGTCAGCTTTGTGTTGCTGTGACCAAAATACCTGATAAGAGCAACTTAGAGGAGGAAAAGTTTATTTTGGCTCATGATTTCAGAGGTTTAGTTCATACTTGACTGAGTCTGTTGCTCTGGGTCCAAGGTGAGGCAGAACATCATGCAGAAGGGCTCTTCAGGGGATAGATGCTCAGTTTATGGCAGGGTCAGGAAGCAGAAAGAAGTGGAAGTGGACATAGGGAAGAAAAGATAGCACGCCTGTAGTGACCTATCTTCTCCAGCCACCTGCCTACCACCCTGCCAATTCATTCAAACTAGGATGCATTGATTAGATTATAGCTCTCATTTTGCCTCCAACTATTCCTGTATTAACATAAGAGCTTTTGGGGGACACCTCACATCCAAATCATAACACAAAAGCATCAGCTTTAAGAAGTTAGGATAGATTTATTTATTATAAGTATGATATATATATATACACACATACACACACACACACCCCACACACACATATATACACACACATATACATATTTAAATATATATAAATCAGACTCCTTTCTGAGTTCTGGTAGTCTGTGAGATAAGTTAGTATAGCATATAGTTACGGTGGGTGCTCTTTGGTTTAAAGTAGGGCTCCCTTCATATTTACTTCTACTTCTATCATTTGAAGGGTGCTTAAGCCCTTCTCTTCATCAGGGAATTCTGATCTCTATTCTATCTTTCAGGTTCCCACAGCAAAATGGCCACTTATTTTGAATGCAAAAATATTTTAATGTAGGGGTACAGTAAACATAGGAAGAACAATTCACAGGTGTATGTCTTTTTTTCTAAATAAAGTTTAATATATTTAACATTGGAGATTGCATTTTCTGCCTCTTCAGTTTTAAATTCCTGGTAGCCTTATCTTAGACATAATCCTTAAGGAAAGATCGACTTTATTTGCAGAGCTTTTGAATCAGATTCTTCATTTCAGATTGAAACTTCCTTATTCTTAGCAGTTCAGATCCCTTTTTGGTCTCTAGGATCTTTGAGTCCATCTATGGCTATGTATCTTTTAATAACAACTAATAAGAGTAAAAATGATTTTCTCTAATTTTGTTAGTACTGCTTGATATACAGCCATCATTCTCCTGAGATAAAAAATTTTTCTTTTTTTTAAAAAAATATTTATTTTTTAGTTGTAGTTGGACACAGTACCTTTATTTTATTTATTTATTGTTTATGTGGTACTGAGGGTCAAACCCAGGGCCTTGCATGTACAAGGCAAGTACTGTACTGTTCTGCTGAGCCACAATCCACCCTCTGAGGAAAAAAAAAAATTAGAAACAAAACCTGCTTACCTTAGATCTGATGATGACCTAGGGGATCATGTTATTTTTAAATGCTAGTCCATGGACTAATGTTAGATGTGTTAGAATCTGCAGATGCATTAGAATTTGTAGCAGTATTCCTGGGCCCCACCCCTAGAAATCTAATTTATTATCTTGGAATTGGATATGTAGAATTTCCTTGGCTACTGGTTATAGGAAAATAACTTGAATTTACTTAGGTATAGAGGGGAATTTATTGGATGGCTTATTATGTACTTATGAGAAGTGCAGGAGTACAGCAGTTGCCAGGGACAATTGGAACCAGCACTCAAGCACTGCCATGGTTATTAGTCTTTTACGTTCTGCTTCTGTCTGCATTTTGACTAAGTTCTCTCAGATTATCTTTCTCCGCATGTCAGGGCACATGGCTTCTGTGAGCTCTCATGCCTTAAGATGCCTGGTTTCATTACTATCTAGGAAAGATCACCTTTCTTGCCTTAATTTCAGCTTGAAAAATTCGGGGAAGGATTATGATCGGTTCAGCTTGTATCACATACCTTTATCTTAACAAATATACAGATCAGTTTTGGCCAACAAGGTGGGTAACATAATTGGTCTGGCTTTGGACATCCCCACATCCCCAGCCTGTGGCTAGACTGATCTATAGGAAAATGAGAACCTTTGTTTTATTTGTTTGTTTATGTATTTTTAAATTTGGCATTGAGGATTGAATCCAGTGGTGCTTTACCACTGAGTTAATTCCCAATCCTTTTTGAGACAGAGTCTTGCTTAGTTGCTTAGGGACTCACTAAAATTTTGAGGCTGGCCTCACCCTGCTAAATTGCTGGGATTATGGGCGTGCTCACCATACCCAGCTAGAGAGCATCTGTTTTACATTTCATTATTCTCTGGGAATTGGGGGTAAAGTACAGATGATGGTTCCCAGAGGAAAGGGGATGCTATTTTTAGAATACAAGTAGAAAGGATAATCTGGAAAGAAAGGAAAATATGTATGTTTATTATATTGGATCTTTATTTTCTCAATTTGAAACTAAATCTAGGAATAACAGATAATTTCATTTACATGTTCATTAGCACCAAGTCATACTTAAAATTATTTGGGCAGAAATCATAATAATGAAATTTGGGGATTAACTAATAATTTCAGTATATTTAAAGACATCCTTTGTAATAGACAGCTTTGATGAACTGAATGTTTTTAGACAGGTTCAGCAGAATATGATAGAATTTTATTGAGATAAGTTCTTTTTTATTTCCACATTTTTTATTGGTGCATTATTATAGTTGTACATAATGATGGGATTTGTTGTTATATATTCATGTATGTACACAATATAATTTGGCCAATATCACTCCCCAACACTTCCTTGGAATAAATCCTGGTTTTCACATTTCTTTAATTATGGAGCTCTGTAGAAGTCCCAGAACATCCTGTAAGAAACACATCTGCTGGGCTGTGGTTGTGGCTCAGCAGTAGAGCGCTTGCCTAATGAGTGCGAGGTGCTGGGTTCGATCCTCAGAACCACATAAAAATAAATAAACAAAATAAATAAACAAAATATGGGTAATTTTGATTAGTACTTATAGCCACATAAAAATAAATAAACAAAATATTGTGTCCATCTACAATTAAAAAAAGAAAAAGAAACACACCTGCTTTTCTTGACTCAGGTCTGGAAATTCCATTTGGTGCAAGGTAGTTGGTTGGTTCATTGTGAACAAGGATATTCTGGATATGTGGTGGTGACTTCTGGTACCAAGGCTTAGAAGTATGAAAGGAAAGCAGAAAAAGAAGAGGAGGGCAAAGGATAATATAGAGAAATATGAGGAAAGCAAATAACATAGATACATTGGGTGATAGGGAATAATGAAGAAAATTAGATCACTAATTTTCCAGTGAGTAGGGAACAGAGGCACAGAGGACCAGTGATAGAGACTACTAAAAGAGGAAAAGTGCTAGGCTAGAGGTTGACAGGACTCTCAATGGGACAATCCTTGCAATCGTGCCCTTGATGTTTGATGCATCTCTGCTGCATGTTTGGGTGCAGGAATGATCTAGCCACTCATTCTGTATTTCAATATTTATGGAAGGAACCTGTGTACCATTTTATAAGAGTTAATATTGGTATGAGTTATCAGTTTTGAACTTTAGTCATTGCATAGGACTAATTCTCCTGGTGTTCTAATCATTTCTGTTGTTTCAAAAATAAAATTAATTTTATATCTTAGGATATCATTTTTGAATATGGGTAATTTTGATTAGTACTTGTAAGTTTATTGTGATACAGACATTTATCAATGGCTAATAAGTATTAAACACTTAGGTTAGGTACTATGAGGGTGATGAATCAGACACAAATTCTGTCCTCAAGATGCTTCTACTTTAGTAGAGAGGATATAACAATTATTAGTCTTGGATAATGAATACATCTTCAGAAGAAATCACTTTAAAAGCCGTCAATCTGTCAGATAAATGTTTTGTCAGTTTTTAGTATATCCAGAATTGAAAATCTGTTTAGTTTAGCACTCTATTTTTTGGAGAATTGACCTGGAAATTTTAATGAGGAACAGAATAGAACCAGAAAAATAATAACTTAGCCCTTTTATTCTTGGCCACTCTATTGACTTTTTGTTATGGCCATAAATAACTCCGAGATTTTTTTTGGCTTACATAAAAGATCTTTATTTCTTGCTCATGACTCTCTGAGCTGGCTGCAGTCACTGTAGCCTATTGGTTTGATTTAGTCTATTGTATACAGCAGCACCTGCTGGAGTGTGCTCTTCTCATGTTTGAAAGCAGGACAGAAGATGAGAAAAAAATACACAAAGCCTCTTAAATTCTTAGTTAGGAACTTTGATTCTTCTTTCCATATTT